ATTGGTTTTGTTTTATTTATTTATTTATTTATTTATTTATTTATTTATTTATTTATTTATTTATTTATTTATTTATTTATTTATTTATTTATTTATTTATTTATTTATTTATATGCCATCTTTCTCCCCAAAATAAATTTTCATTAATACACTTTTGTCTTTCCCTTAAAAATTGTGGTGTTCAAGGGGGGGCTCACAAACTTCATTAGAAACAATGTGAAAAAGAAGCCGCCCAAGGAGTATAAAACGGTTGAAGCCATCACAGTAGTCACGGCAATTCAAATTGGGACACTAGTCAGCAAAGCATCGGAACAGTTTTCGGGTACTTGCCAGCTTACCCACACAGAGGTGGCTCATGGCCTCGGCCTGAGGGCAAATGACCTGCGTGTTCTTTTCTTCCCTCCCCCTGTCCCAACCCTTCCAAACAGGCTGAGGTGATTTTTCAAGAGATGTTCCCCAAAGAGGAATTCTGCCCACCGCCTCCAAATCCAGAAGACATTATCTATGATGGGGATGGAACTCAGCCGGAAGATCCTGGATTTAGCAGTCCCTCTGAGGACAATCCCGAGAATACGCCAGAGAAGCTGACTGAAGAGAACGAAGTCCCCCCTGAGGAGTGAGCCGCTGGCCAGGCCATCCCTGAACAACGTCGCTCTGGACTCTGAAGTTCAGCCCCATCTGAAGGACCACCATCGGACAACAGGCAACCCAGCCATTCAGTGGGACTTGACTGAGTAGCTTGACAGTTGAGTTGGAGACCCAAGAACCTCGTCTGCAATCCCATGCTGAGATATGTTATTAGCCTTCCTCATTGCTCTGGGAAAGACATGTTGCTGTTTAGTAAATATAAGGGATTCCCCGGCCCCATGCAGTTAGCCAGCAGCACAACATAGAAGCGTAGATTTTTGTTTCAGAGAAGGTGGGAGCCCTTCGTTCCATTCCCGGGGGGAAAAAACTGCTTGGACCGGAACTGGAGGGCAAGTTTTGGTAACAGCCTTCCACCATCGGCTCTTTGGCCGGATGAAAGCATTTGCCTGTTCTGTCATTTTCTTTGGCTTGCTGTGCAGAATGTCGCTGATGTGTGTCATCTGCTCAATAGAATAATATATATATATAAATATAAATAAAGTCCTTGCCTTCTTGAAAGTAGTTGTATGGCAGTCATTTACAACTTAAAACCCTCTTCATTTATTTGCCTTGAAGAAATCAGCTATATCACTGATGCTTACAGTCTAATAGTATAAATATCCCGAGTAATTTGAGGGAGCACACTGCAGAAAATCCTTGGTACCACGTCACGCTGCGAACATGACGATTTCATAGATAATTAAAAAGGCGTCAAGCTAATATAGCTGAGTAGTTGAGATACTTCGCCTGCAGATCATCTTTGCCTTTCCTTCCCTCACCTTTTAGTCACCTATTCTCTTCTCTGCTTCACCTTTTCTTTCTACTTATTTATTTATTTGATTTGTATCTCGCCCATCTGGTCTATACGACCACTCTAGGCGGCTACTGGTTTCTACTGGTCAGCCTTCCTTGTCTAGTGTTCCCCAGCTATCTTGGTCACTCTGTCTCGGGTTGATGGGAGATGTTGTCCAACATCTCAGAGCGCACCAGGTTGAGGAAGGCTGAGCTGGTTAGAAACGACAGGCACGGTGCAAAGTGCGTCACTGCAGTTTCAAATGGTTTGATGTTCCACTTTTTATCATAAACAAAGAGAACATGGTTGCAGTCTTTGATTTTAAATGATGCAGAGTGCCTATGAGCCGGTCTCATGTCTTATTCATGCGCTGGATGAGGTTCGTAAATGTATTTGCTTGAGTCGCTCAGTGGTTTGCTTTGGGGTTATTTATACCATAAGAACAGAGATGGACATGAGCCTGGAAAATGGTGGTTCGTGATGGCTCTTGGTTAGCCACGAACCGACTGGAAAACCAAACTGGTTCGTGGTTTGGCTTTCGGCTTGTGTCCAAGGGGCCCACCTGCTCCTGTTGCTCCACGAAGCTGCCGTTGCCATCTTCAAAGAAAGGGCAGGAGAAGAAGGAAAAGGCGGTTTGAGAGGTGATGGGGGCAGCCGGAAGGGCAAGGATCGGCTTGGCCAAAGCAGATATAAAGCATTGAGTGGAAAGAAGCCTGGCACTTTGCTTCATTTCAGCAAAATGGGCTTCACAAATCAAACCACAAACCAGCCTCATAGTCCCATTCATATTCATGTCTACATAAGTCTTTTATTTCCCAGGAACGAATCGATTAAAGTGGTGTGGGTTGGGGTTTTTTAACCCCCCCTACATTAAATTTCATAATTTAAGCATGCCAAAAGGAGAATTAAGGCATGCCTGGAGAGAACTGGACAAAAATAAGATATGCTAGACAGAATATATTTGAAAAATAGTATGGTTGTTTTTGTTTCGTTTTTTTAAAGTGATACTTTATCTAAAGGATTATTAATTAAGTTTGAGAAAGATAAGGTTAATTGAATTTTTAAATGAGCAGCGGTGTTATCCTTCAAGCACCTTGAAGCTCATTGTGGATGCACACCTTTTTATCCCCCTTGGAAGCGATCTGATAGGTTTGAATCCTTTTTTTAAAAGTGATGCTTCTAAAATCAACTTCTATTTACAGTATTGGGATATTCATTTTCAGCCAGTAGATCAAACGCGCTAGTAGGTTGCGTCCAGGTGGCTTAAGGTCAGCTGCATCACTGCCATTTTTGCAAGTGAAGACAGTTTGGCTTGATAGCTCAGCGAGTTAAGTGCATGGCTGTGAAGCCCAAGGTGGAGAGTTCGATTCCCCACTATGCCTCCTGGGAAGATAGCTCAGCGAGTTAAGTGTATGGCTTTTGAAGCCCGAGGTGGAGAGTTCGATTCCCCACTATGTCTCCTGGGAGAAGAGGCAGCCAGGGTGGCCTTGGGCAAGCTGCATACAGTCCCAGGGCGCCCCCAGAAGAAGAGGATGGTCGACCACTTCTGAGGACCACCTAGAAAATCATGACTCACTATTGACTTGAAGGCATATCATAATCAAGTGGACTACCTAGAAAATCATGACTCACAATTGACTTGAAGGCATATCATAATCAAGTGAGGATAGAGGGATCACTCTCAGTTAAAATGTAAGAACATAAAGGAGGGCCATGTTGGATTGTACCAAAAAAAACTATCTGCTACAACATTCTGGTTACTCTGTGGCCAACCAGATGCTTTGGGGAAGCCTAAGCCATGCTGGATCATAGCAAAAAACTATCTATTACAACATTCTGGTTACTCCGTGGCCAACCAGATGCTTTGGGGAAGCCTACAAGCAGAGCCATGAACATAATAGCACCCTCTGTATTATTTTTTCTGAGGCTTAGTACCTCCAATCCTAGCTGTCGTGTGGACTAGAGGCCCTGAAAGCCCAAAGCTCCATGAATTTACTAGTCATTTTTAAAGCCACCCTAGTTGGCAGCTGTCACTATATCATGTGGCAGTGGATTCCACAGTTGAACTATGCATTGTGTAAAGAACTACAGTACCTCCTTTTCTCTCCCCTGGATCTTCCATCACTGAGTTTCAATGCATAACCACAGGTTCTAGTGTTACAATACAGTAAAGGAAGAAGAGTTATCCCAAGTATATTTTACCCCCACTCTGCATTTTCTGTAAACTTCTATTGCATCTCCCTTTACTTGCCTCTTTTCTTAAGCTAAAGTGCCCCAAACATAGCAAATTTCCCCCCTTAAGAGATCTGCTCCCAGTCCCTTGATTGTTTTGGTTCCCCTTTTCAGTTGAGCAAAGAAAACCTACAGCACAGCAGCTCTTAGCTTGATTTCAAAATAATCATGTGCTGACTTATGGCGACTATTTTCAGGACTTTCCAGGTAGAGAATATTCAGAAGTGCTTTACCCTTCCCTTCCTCTAGGGGGAGCCCTGGGGCTGTTGTGCAGCTTGCCCAAGGCCACCCAGGCTGGCTGTTCTCTTGAGAGGCATGGCGGGGAATCGAATTCCCAACTTCAGAGAGTTTTTTTTCCACATTATGTGCTGACAGAACAAAGCAAAATGAATAAAAATATGACTTGAACAGCTGAATCAAAGGAAATATTATATCACTAGGGCTTACGCAGGACATTTTAATTCAATGTGTGTCCCATGACACTAATTGCTGAGACTTGATATGCTCCATCTCTTTTTATTTTAGATGTACGTTGAAAACTTACCTGTTTTTATAAAGCCCCTGCTGTAGAGTAACTATCATGGATACCATGGAAAACATACATATTTATTTTAATTCTGTGCATTAAAATGTTTTATTATTGGTGGACATCGGTTTGAAACCTTCATACCCAGGCAGTTTATAAATATTTGCAAAACCATAATTAAAGATGACTGCTATATTGCAGGCTTGTGTATTAAAATGTTTTATTATTGGTGGACATAGGTTTGAAACCTTCATACCCAGGCAGTTTATAAATACAGTATTTGCAAAACTGTAATTAAAGATGACTGCTATATTGCAGGCTGGGGTGAGTTCCATCACTAAACATGTTGATAGCTATTGAATTAACCAACCTTCTTCACGTGTTTGCCTCCTTCTTTCCAAACCATTCTGTATCCTCCTGTATACCTGTCATTGTTCACCTGCCTTTTGGAAGTGTCCCTCTCCTGCAAATGGCTACGTTTGCTCTCTTTCCTGTTCTCCCTCTCTGAGAGATTGCGCTTTGCCCCATTTGACAGGCAATCATTAGAACTAGGATGCCTGCAGACTAAGGAGACCTTTTCCTCCTATTATTACAAGGAAGGATTTATGTAAGTAACTCATATTAATGATAATGGGACTTGTCGTGTGTAAATTTTACCTGTGCCAATGGCAGAGTTGCCCCCTGAAAGAAATCCCCATTTCTCTGCAGGAATGACTTTCAAAATGGCATTCGAGATGCCGTGGAATTTCTCCATCGGAAATGACCTGTGCCAGCCTTTCCTTCCGGCTCGCCATGGTTCATTTCGTCGTACCTAACAATCATCACAGCCCGCCTCTGTGTTCTGCAAATAATCACATTGAAGAACTACAAGGATTTCTCTTCTTGTGATGCCTGAGAACTTCTTTTAAAAAAATAAGGAAAAGGGAGAAAAGAATAAAAGCGTGCTTGCCGATGCTGTATTTGAAACGTGTTTTTTTTCCAGTTAGTATAAATGGAATCTGAATTAAAGGCATCCAATGTGCTTCCAACTCTTGATAGAACGGCTCCAGTTCAAGGTGGCCAAGAGCCACACCATTCTGAAAACACACAAGATCTACCCAAATAAGGCAAACCTTGCTATCAAAGTGTCCAGTTATGTCCTCTTCATTTCTGTACTGTTCCCGTCATCCAGATGATGTAAGGCTTGATCTGATACCATCAGCGCCTTTCTGTGCTTTTGTAAAAAATCTCTGTTGTAGGGATAGTTTGTTTAGTTGCAGGGTTTGTTCTGGGGTGGAGTTTAGCGCTATGAAGATTACAATTGAAGGTGCATTTCCACATCTGGAGCTCCCACTAAAGCGGCCTTCAATGATATAAGGCTGCTTTGATCAGCTTCTTTAAAAGTTTCATATGCAAAGATCCAGCAAGGAAGTGGGTTTATACAGATCTTTTTCCTACAATCTGAAAGATTTCCTGAAGAGAAGCAGTTTTCAAAGATGTGGCATCTGTTTCTACAATTTAGAAGCAAATCCTAGTAAACCTTTACCAACTGGGCTGTAACTTTTGCTCTGCCTTGATACTCAGTTCTCCAGTGTTCTTTTCTAGTCATAATTGGGTGTGCGTTGTTGCGTATTCTTTGTCATTCCGTACACACTATTGGGTCCCCTCAGCTGGAGCTTTAAAAAAATTATGATTTCAAACTACAATTCCCGGAATCCCCAGTGTTAGCTGGAAAATTAGGGGACTCGTACTGCAAAAGGCAACTCGTCCGGCGTGATGTTTTGGATTCTCTAATGTTCCAGCTGAACTTATGAAAGCATCTCATTTCACTATGACCATTTATCAGACCTATTCTGAGGTGTCCATCAAAAACTATTGTCAGCCTTCTGGAATGATGAGGCTTTGCAACCGGATCTATCAAAATATTCCCCCCAGGCTGAAAGCACAGAAAACCCCCCCTCCCCATTATCTTTATTTACAGGCGTGCAG